ACCCCATCCCCCTGCACATCCTCATCCTTCTGTTCCCCCCCCCTTGGATCCCTATACTCATTCTACAATAATGATTTTATGAAATGTTTGTCCTTGTGAAACTGAGTTAGTTCACTCAGCATAATGCTCTCCAGTCCCTCCCAAGTTATGTAGTAATTTAGAACATTATTGCTCCTGCGTGCTGTGTAGTATTCCATTGTGTGAAGGTCCCATAATTTATCAATCCATTCATTTATAGTTGGACATCTGGGTTCTTTACATGTTCTTGCGATAGTGAATAATGCTGCTATGAACATTGGTGCACAAATCTCCGTTTGTGCCTCTGTTCTCTCTCAGGATATATTCTAAAGAAAAACATCAAGACATATCATAGTCAAATTCTCCATATTAAAAGATGAGGTCCCAGCCTTTTAGATCTGCTTTCTAGTTGGACTTCTTACACGCCTCCTGTGTCTTCCTTTCCCAGATGCAGCTTGCTGCTGTATTGCTCAGACCTCCCGCCCACCAGCATCATCATCACCTTCCATAACGAGGCCCGCTCCACGCTGCTCAGAACCATCCGCAGGTAAGCAGCTTTGCTTCTCTGTCCATTCCCCACTGCTGGCCCCAGCACTTGGTGAGGGTGGGTCCGTTTGCTGTTTGTCCAGTCTTGTGATAGTCGTGTGAAGTATTTCTAACTACATAACAGGCACTGTTCTAAACTGCCATATCCATAGACCCGGGCATTTCTTGACCTGTTAGGAGAGTATTATCCTATTTACTGGGGGAAGGGTGACAAATGATCTGCTGTTGTTAGAGGCCATCATGTCAACCATGACCCTTTGAATGGCAGACCTGAACCTTGCTCTGCCCTGCTCCATACTCAGTCCCTGCCATGCTCAAGCGCATTGTTGCATATACTGTGGAACATTGTGCAAGTCATCTTGTTGAGGGTCTGCTTCTCTTTTGCTGGCCCCTTACTTTTCCCAGCATGGTACCGTTTTTCCAAGGACTGTTCTATCCCTGACAGTATGCCCAAAGTATGTGAGATAAAGTTCACTATCTTTGCCTCCAAGGAGCTCTCTGGTTTCATGTCCTCTAAGACTGATTTATTCTTTATTCTTTGGTGGCCCATGGGGCATTCGATACACTTCACCAATACCACAATTCAATGGCTTCAAATTTTTCTGACCTTTCTTACTCATTGTCCAATTTTCACATGCATATGAGGCACTTTAAAATACTATGGCTTCGACCAGGCACACCCTAGTCCTTCAAGTAGCACGTGGCTTGTTCTTTAGCAAGTGGTCCTTGTCAAGAGGTCCTTGACTGCAGCTTTGCCCAGTGTCTTTGGGTTTCATCATTGCTGCCACCATAGGTATTGATTGTGGATCCAAGTAAAATGAAATCATTGACAACTTCAGTTTCTTCTCCATCTATTATAATGTTGCCTGTTGGTTCAGGTCTGAGGAGTTTTGTTTTCTTGATGTTGAGATGTAATCTATATTGAATGCTGTGGTGTTTGATCTTCTAGTGCTTAGGTAAATTGTTCCAAGGTCATGGGAAGCAGATAGCAGAACTGTGTCTCCGAACCCTTGCCCTTGATCACTAGGAGCGACTACTTCTAAAAAGTTATTTCTGACATTTTTAATTTATGAGATACTGAGGCCTAAAAAATTTGAGTGACACACCCCTTGCTCCAGGCCATAAAACAGACAGCATCAGGCTGGCATTAGAACTCTGTCTCCTTCACATTACAGCACCTTGCTTCCCTAGGAGTGATGATGATACAAATCAGAAGGGCCGTCTTTAATGTTGATGACTATCTGTGCAGTCACTGTCTGCATCCAATGTGGCAGGTCCTCACCTGCCGACACACTGGCTCTGGCAGGTTCATCCTTCCCCTGTCTGGCCTGAGGTCTGCACAGATGTTTAATATACAAATGTCACTGACCCTCCCACAACAGAACTCCCCTCAGAACCCAGAACCAGTACCTGGGAGATTTGTCTGGGAATTAATTCCTCACTCAGTTCTTGGAAGACCCTTCTGTTTAAGCTCCATACTTATTCCCATTCCTAAAAGAAGGTGATCCAACAATCATTAATATCATATGATCATCCGACTCAAAATGCCTCATGTCGGTCCATCTCATCTCACCAATGCCTAGTATGTCAATATTTGTGTGTTCCATTTCTTCCTTAACAATAATCTAATTTTTCTACATTCATGGTTCTCACATTCCATGTTCCAATCACTAGTGTCTGCTTACAACTGTACCTCTTCCTTTATATTTCCATACTTGAAAGCTCCACCTCAGTTGCCCTTTCTGTTAGTGTATGTGTGTTCTGTTGTACATAGGTTTTATAGAGGCCTGCTATTTCGGAAGTGGATGGCAAATCCTTCTTCACAGTCTGTCTTACACTGAATGTTCAGAGTTAGAGAAGTATCCGACAGACAAGCATTTTACAGAAAAAGTGAAAAATATAACCTTTATTGTGGAATTAACCATTAGTTTCAGTGTTGTCCCTGCCCTTGACCCAAGTGTCTTGACCCACTTATTTTCCTGCTCCACCATCCACCAGGATACCCATCTACTTCTACCCACTCCCTTCAACATTTGTCTCCCATTGTCCAGTCCTTGTTCTGATAGCTTATATCTGAAGCTTTCTTGGCGTCTGTGATTCCAAACATGTCAGCTGCTGACAGTTTCTTATACTGTGACCAGTGTCTCTTAAGTTTGGTGGTAATGTTTCCCAAGCGAAGGTGATGTATCCTGTACAACTGGTATATAGCGGCCCTTGGGCCCCAACAATTTCCATGTGGCCTTGGGTTCTTTGCGTTTACCTGGTGTCACTCTGGAGACTAAGGTGCGTCTGATACAGGCAATGGTCTTTGCAATCACTTGTTATGTGTCAGAGAGTTGGACAATGACTAGGGAGGATAGAAGGAGAATTGATGCCTTTGAGCTGTGGTGCTGGAGAAGAGTATTGAGAATACCATGGACTGCTAAGAAAAAAAAAAAACCACAGATTCATCCTGGAAAGGATTAAACTGGGCAGCTCCTTGGAGGCAAGGATTCTGATGCTTTGTCTGACATACTTTGAACATGTTATAAGGAGGGACCGGTCCTTGGAGAGGGACATCATGCTTGGGAGGGTGGAGGGGCAGCGCAGGAAGGGAAGACCCTCTACGAGGTGGATTGATTCAGTGACTGGGGTAATTGGGGAGGGTGTGTCAGAAACAGTGCAATTGGCACAGGACAGAGCAGGGTAGGGCTGTTGTACATCGGGTCACTATGAGTCGCAAGTGACTTGATGGCAATAACAACAACAGCATTAATATCACATGCAAGCAAAATATTGTTGACAATCATCCAAAAATGACTGAAAGAGTACATTGACAGGGCACTTCCAGAAGTTCAAGCTGGGGTTAGAAGAGTTGTAGGACCCCCAGTCCTGGGAATATCATTGCTGATGTCAGATAGATCCTGGCTAAAGCAGAGAATAACAGAAGAATGGCTGTCTGTGTTTTATTGATTATACAAAGGCATTTGACTGTGTGGATCACAACAAATTATGGCTAACATTGAGAAGAATGGGAATCCAAGAACACTTAATTGTGATCATATGAAATTTATCCCTCAACCAAGAAGCTATTTTGAGAATTGAACCAAGGAACACTGTATGGTTTAGGATCAGGAAGAGTGTATGTCAGTGTTGTATCCTTTCTCCATAACTATTCCACCTATATGCTGAGCAAATAATTCAAGAAGCAGGATGCCATGAAGAACAGGGCATCAGGATCAGAGGAAAACTCATCAAAAAAACTGTGTTATGAAGATGACACAACTTTGCTGAAAGTGGGAGGGGGACCCACAATGCTTGGTGCAGAATATCAAAGACTGTATCCTTCAATATGAGTTGTATTTGAACATCAAGAAGACAAATGTCCTTCCCACTGCACCAGTGGGCAACATTGTGATAAACTGAGAAAAAAGTCAAGCTATTAATGATTTCATTTTGCTTGGATTCATAATCAACACACGGGGTACCAGCAGTCGGGGGGTAAGGAGATGTATTACTTTGGGCAAGTCTGCTGTCAAGGATCTCTCAAAAATATTGAATGATGTCAATTTGAAGACTGAGGTGCCCCTAATTCAGGCCATAGTCTTCTCCATTATTTGCTTTGCATCTGAGAACTGGACAGTGAATAAGGATGGCAGAAGAATTGATGCCTTTGATTTCTGGTCTTGGAGAAGAGCACTGAACATCCCATGGATTGTCAAAAGAATGAACAAGTATGTCTTCGAAAGCATACAGCTGGAGTGTTCCATTGGGCAAGGATGGCAAAGCTTCATCTCTCACACTTCGGACATGTTGCTAGGAGAAGCTATTCCTTGGAAAAGGACATTATGCTTGGAAGGGTGGAGGGTCAGTGAAAAAGAGGAAGACCCCAGTGAGATGGATTGACAGGGCGACTGCAGCAGTGGGCTCACGTGTGTCAGAGATGGTGAAGATGGCACAGCACAGGACAGGATTCAAATCTGTCATTCACAGGGTAGTTATGAGTCATACTAGACGCAACAGCACCTAACAACAAACCCCTAATATGATACCAGTTTCTCTTCTCTAGTGCCCACATGCCTTAGCCTTTCCTCATGCCATCTTTGCCACATTTACATCTTAGATAATAGGAGTATCAGCCACCAAACCTGAAGTTTTATTCCTGTAAAAACATCTTGGTTCATATTTTTTACTGGATGAGGCAGGATGTCATTGCTATGTCACGCTGCAGCCAAAGAAATAGTGTCATGGGAGGTCTTCTATTAATGCTTTTGTTACTCAGTTAAGAACAGCAGAACATGCATATAGGCCTCTAACTTCAGAGTCCTGATTTTCATCAGGCTGAATAGAACAGGCTTGTTTCAGCAGAAGCATTTCAGCCAGTGGTATTACTAGGGTCAGTATCTTCTCCCCTATCCGCCTTCTCCCGTACCAGATCACATGCAATCCTTTGCAATATTTTTTTTTTCTTTTGTGTTACTTCTAAGTGTAATTCCCAAATGTCACTCAATGTTATGGCAGCAGTAGTGACATGAAAAATTACACCTTTGAATTGTAATATTGAAGTCAAAACGCCAGTACATCGACAAAATAATAGCAGCAATGAAAACAATCCTGTGTGTTTTTAAGGACATGCAGACGAAACCATGTGATTCAAAGCATCCGTGAAGTTGAGTAATAATGACAGCTCTGGCAGGAGCACATTAGAACATTCAGTGAGTAAGTCGGCATAGTCTTATCAATCTGTCAAACTTTCCCCTACCCAAAAAACAGAAATAAAGAGGTTATGTTCTTTGTAACAAACAAACAAACAAACAAACAAAAACACCCCATAACCCTACAACAAAACAAACAGGAAATCAATATAACATCATAAGTATATTAATACATGTAAACTTGGCTTTCAAAGGATATTTTTGTTATCACTAACTGCTGAGATAATTTTATAAAAAAATTAAGTTTCTGCTTAAACACTGCATGAAACATTTTATGAGCAGTCATTTTTGTGTCACCGTCTCTGAA